TATTGCAGGCCTTTTACCACCTATACGAGAAGGTCTCCAACGCGAAATGCCAATAACCTAAGTGGAAACATTGAAGTGTGCTGATGAGGTAGAAGCATCATTGCGTTCGCAGTCTGTACCCCTATGTCATGCAGTGACTGCTCCAGATGTTCTGTCTGATTTGACTAAGGCTTTGTCTCAGATGCTTTCCAGAAGGTTGAGGCTAGATTAGCTCTGCTGGAAAGGGGGGATGGACAGAGGCCCAGTGAGCTTGATAGATCTAATCCATTAATGAAACCTTCCTCAGCACATTCTCAGAATTTTGCGGACTCGCAGCAATTCTGTAGTCGATGTGGACGTCCAAACCATGCTGATTCACAATGTCGTGCACGTACGGTTGTCATGTGTCACGGTTGTCATGGTGTTCTCGGGCAGGACACATAGCCAGGTTTTGTGCTGTGCAGAGTGGTTCTTCACAAGTTCCAATGCGCTCCCCAGGACAGGTTAGTAATAGCCGTTTAAACTCTAGAGCATCTTATCTGTCACAACAGAGTCATAACAGACAGAGTCAGGGAAACAGTGCAAATGTTAGACATAGGAGAGCTGTGTCAAACTCAGTAAGGCAGTTAAACTGAAGCAGGCTGGTCCCAAGGGGCTGAGGCCAGCCAAGAACACTTAAAGTATGAGACCAAGGTATGAGACACTATGATGATGCTCAGATTGAGAGGGATGTTCAGATAGGTACTGTGTTTCCTCAGGTTGCAGTTCCTAGGACTAAGGTTATGTCAGCTTTTTACGCTGATGTTAATATTGAGGATGCCCCAGTTAGGGCTCTCCTGGATACGGGGTCATCAATGTCACTCATTCATGCTGACTCGGTTAATGCTCTAGGTTGTCGTGTACACCATGTTGATGACAGGACGTCACTACCTTCTCTGATAGCAGCCAATGGTGAACCTCTTCCTTTGTCTCATTGTGTTCAGCTTCAGGTCAAAATAGCAGGTCAAGTAATTGTTCAAAACTGCTGGGTTTGTTCTAACGCAGCCATTCTCTTGATTCTTGGGATGGATTTTCTTGAGAAATCCGGATTCGTGTTAGAACCTAGGACTCAGTCCATTTCTCATCCGTGTGCTGGGAGTCTGATTTCTTCTTTGTCTTCTGAGACTTCAGCTTATCCAGTTTCTATTTTAGAAGATACTGAGGTCCCAGCGGGATGTGAAGCTTGTGTGAATCTTCATTGTCTCCATTTTCAAAGGAGTAGTGTATTGTTGCAAATCAGGCGACAATACAATTAATTATGATTCTCTCTGAGAAGGTTTTAGAATGAGATATTTGACTAAGGTCACTCACCCGCTCATGTTTTATCAACAAGAGCTGCACAATATGTTTTTAATAAAGCTGATTCCATGTCAGTCCGCACCCTTTTTTCCCCCGACCCCTTTCAATTCCAAGGAAATTCGGTATGGTGATGGTAAATATTGAGAAAACAAACTTCAGAAAAATTTCAACTCCTTACATTATTTATTGTGAGTATGAAAGTGAATCATAAATTCGACAATTTTGGGGCACTTTGGACCCGGGGAAAAACAAAAACTGTCATAACTCAATTGGCAATTAAGATAAAGGCGTGAATATGGTATCCTTGTATAGGCTATAAAATGTCCTATCTGATGATGTGTAACACATGGTGATAAAAGCAATGACCTTGGCTTAGATGTTTTTAATGACCTAGAAATTTGACCGACCTAAGTGGACCTAAATTCCCACACTCGATTTCGCGAAAATTTTCAACAGAGATATGGGTATTTTGATGCCTGACTTTCATAACATGTGCTGATATTCCACACCACTAGAGCCGAACGAAATGGCGATTAGCAAAAATGCCGAAATTCGAAAACAACGAATGTGCGGAACAACGATGGATAAACATGTTGAAGTACGGAAATGTAGAATACTTCATTTCGCAGAACGTTGAGTACACCGACGATTACCTTTTCTCTAAAAAAAAAATGCCGAAAACGCCGAAAATCCAGACGGTGATGTGCATGTGAAGTCTAGACTCAGAGAAGTCAATTACGAAGACTTCTCCTTCTGTATCCGAATGAGTTTGCTTTTGCTTTCCTGCTAGCATAATATATTATTGCCTCTTTCGAGTGTCATTTCACCCTATGGAGCCGAAAATTTGATATAGGATTGTTTTCTTCTCATTTGCTATCAGCATGCTGAATTTTATTGAAATTGGAGGGGGTTGGGGAAAAGAGTATGCGGACTGGCATGGCCCACAAGAAAAGCTCGCAGTAGGATGCTGAGAAGACACCTAACAAATAGCTAGCCCAACATCGACTGGAAAAAGGCAAAAGAGTTCACGGTCCCTTGAGTATTTGGTCGCATTCGGAGCCAATCAGGGCCAGTCATGCCGTCTGGGTCTTTTGAAAATCAAAGACGTTGAGAGTCACAATAATTTTTTCAGGGATTTGAAACATTGGCAGTACGACGTAGTAATAATCACGCGGGGTCACTTGAGAATCTATTGCCCAGCAAACCTCATTAATATTATGAAACGAACTTCGCAGGATACTAGTTTTTGTCTTAGAGCGTTCCTTCTGGAGTGTCGAATATTTTATCAAAACGGACTGTTATTGTTTTGCACAGAGAAGGGTTTTCGCAAGTTCTGTGTGAAGTGACGGTTGAATAAACGAGTGACTGAAAATTGTGAAGTCTTCGTCAAAAACCTGCGATCCCTCAAAAAAAAATATCGAATATTCTTGAACTTCCATGCGACCGCTATCGAGGCACTGGTCTGATCATTCCATGTGAGTCAGCTTCGAGAATCACTGGCGAGGTAAGTGTGGCTTTACCCATCCATCGGCGTTACGCGATCATTTTCCTCTCTTGCCATCCGTTGGCATGAAAGGTCGGAGCGAAGGCCTTGGCCAAAGCGGTCAAGCGCGACAAGCAAACAGTGGAGCGTTTTGCCGACAGCCAGGGAACCGATCCAGTCCCGAATCGACATCGTGGAACTGCAGGGAGACGATGACCAGAGGCACGGCTGAATGATGACCAGAGGCAGAAGCCGGCAGCAAAGTGGAGAGCGAAGAATGGAGTCAGAAACCCGACCGGGCGAAGCGATCGCCCGACCTCAACCGGATGGAAAATGTATGGTAACTACTCGAGATGTGGATGCAAACCCAAAAACGCAGAACTTATTGGTCCTTCTTATTGGGAATCGTGCGGGAATGGAAGGGATTTCAAGATTAACTTCGCTGCGAGACGCGTAAATTGTAAAATGAAAAAATCGTGTTCCTCTAGTCATTGAAAGTATGCAATTTTATTTGTATTAGTCATCAGGGTATATACAAATGCAATAAAATAATAATCACCTCATAGGCTCATCTGATATCGGAGGGGTGCTGGTGGGGCTTGGATAACGAGTACTGCAGTGCGCATAACGCTAGGCCCATCTGGTGCTTCTCGGACCATCTCGACTCGGATGTCTGGGGGAAGACAGCCCCCGAATTTCAAATGGAATCCTGCATGCAATCGCGAAAACGGACGTTCGCGTCCGGCATGACCGTATCCCATCACACTCGTCGGCCACCGCTAACCGCTCCCTCAATTTCGCCTCATCACATTATGTCATTAACATGCAGTTAATAATCATTGAGATATTGGGAGCCGCCAAGAACGGGAAGAAAGCGTATCCTGCTCGACAAGTCCTTCTTCTTTTGTCGGACTATTTCCTCCCTCCTAGCACCCAAGGAGTGGCTACGAGGGGGGAAGTGGGATAGTGTGCAGAGAAATGCCGGAATAAATTCACATTTTCAAAGAATGGTATCCTTTTCCCTGCAACCGCGTAGCGATGGAAATCTGATTTGCTAGAATGGATCCTGTGTAGAGAGAGTAAGTAGCCTGCCCAATTTTGATCATCCAGATCCGCTCAGAGAGGAATACGAGATCGAATTTTGTAACTGGAACGGCACAAAGGAATCCTATGAGTACCACTACACGCTTTCGGCACATACGGGCATCGAAACCCATGGTTCCTCCACCAGCATGGTGTTTATGCGAACGAATCCGTACCACCTTTAGCAATGCGCATGGTAACTCAATGGAGCATCCAGGTCCAGCCATTCTTTCCATTCCAGAGGGTAAATGTCCGCCTCCCTCTTCATAGCGCTACACCGCACGAATCGGTCAGTCTCTTGGGAGCTGCCGTCCAGCAAAGATGACAACGCATGAAAGGATGTACGAGTTATTAAGACATAGGATCGTTGTCCAAGCACCGGGTTGGACAGCTATTCGCTTTCATATTCCTGGATATCAAATGCCCGACCTACTTCAAGTCTATGTTCGGCTGCGTGTCGGAGAAAGCTATGGCTGTCAACATCCTTGATTTGATTTTTCTTTATATTTAACAGAATCCCTAACAATCCGTTTGTATTGACACGATGGAAAACGCAACCTAAAGTTTGAGACATTGTTCCATAGCTATTCTTCCTTGTATTCGGCTTCTGTATGCTTCCTTTCTTCTTTTTGAATGCCTGCTTGCTTCTCTTAAAATTTCCCTGGTGCGATTTTTCATGCCGCAAAAGGCAAAAACAATTTCCTTTATACAGGAAATCCTCGATTTCCGTCGCTTCGATATAACGTCGTAAATCGATACGATGTAAATCGAGGACTTACTGTACTTTATTCTTGGCCTCAACGTTCTCCAATCCACTCTAGTTGACTTTACATACGTTGGATGTCGCTCAGGCGCCGCCGTCCAGGTTGAGATGATTCCTCCGTAGAAAAAACATGTTGAAGGAGGCTAAAGGGCTCCATGTTAAAGGAGGATGCGAATTCATTTGCGAGATGGCGAAGACCGGCTGCGTAGGAAGCAACCATTCGTATTGCCTCTCCCTTCTTCGATTTAGCTACAACGCAGTGTGGATCGTGCACTCCTCAGGCGGAGGCCTGTGGACGTACTCGGGGCCTGCGCTTTGGTGAATGGTGAAGCAGTTCTTGTCGCTCATTCGGGACCGATGGTCCATCTCACAGTGACGTCGCTCACGAGTCCCGGCTTGCCCTGCGTCTGAGTCATGTGAGGTTTTTCTCTTTTTAAACCCCGGCAACGGCATACAAAGGTCATAATGATTAAACCGTCCCGATGTGTGGACGGGGCAGGGTCCAAATCCGACCCGACCCCCCAACTCGTCTCTCGTTCCCGTCTCTTCCATCTCGGAGCGCCCTCGCGCATGCCCATTCCCATTCCCGCCCTAACCTCATCGATCAACGTGAAAAAAGGAGACAAGCGCATGAAGATGCTGACAGATCTCATTCACCTTCCCTCCCACTCTCTTAATCGCATGAGCTCTCCGGAACACTCGTGGCCTCTCTCAGGCGGCTTTTGGAGAGTGTCGCGCCTTCGAGGTGAAGTGCGTCAAACACGGGATGGCCTCGAGGTCAAACAAATCATCCATCGCTTATTTGGTGTATATCGATCGGTGACTTTTTTACCGGCGATAGAATGAGAACATCTTGGTTGGCATTCGATAATGGAAGTGGAGTGATTTCTTTCATTACGAGCTTATTATTCTCCCTCGTTAATTGCATTTCTTCCCGCCTTTCGAGGGTGTTGACGTCATTAACTTGGAAATCGTCATTCCGGACTAGTATTACATGTAAGTGCGATTCAGATCATCGTTTCCAGCATGTTTCGTCTGCGTCATGGCGTCTCCAGAAATCGCGATTAACGGCAATGGATTATGAAACCGGTCAGTGTCCATGAGCTCTTATTTCTCCTTTCCCAAGTCATTGCGAAAAAAGGTTGCTACATAATTTTCAATCGAATATCTCGTCTTTTGATAAAGCAGGCTCCAGAAACGGTTGCTGCCACAATGGATTCAAAAGGTAAAACAGAAATCGGCAGCCGAAACACTAGAAATATTGACTTCAAAGATCGCCGTTCTGTCGGACAACTGCGTCCACAATGAAACTGCAGTCAAATTATATGCTAATCCGACTCCAGCTGCATTGATTATAACGTCGTCAATCTGCACCCGGAATATTCTGGGACCCGCAACACTAGGGTTAATGTATTATTGTGAAAAAGCATTTTTCAAAGGCATTCCCTTTCCTCAACCCCAACCCCAACCCCAACCTCAACCCCAACCCCAACCCCAACCCCAACCTCAACCCCAACCTCACCTCACCCCTTTCTCTACGTTACTCACTAACATTAGGTCGAACCGCCGCACTGTCTTCGATTCAGGCTTAGGCCTTTTCGTTCAAAAGAAGCTCAATCCTTACCGGGCCATCTATCTGGGCATATTCAGAGTTTCTGGAACTGTCCCGACGAATTCTGAGGAGAAAAGTTTTCCACGGGGAAGCATGGACTACATCGGGGGCGCCATTAAATCAGGGATGCCCGAATGAGAGATCCCCACAACCCACCAAATCGATCGGCCACTGCTGGCCACCGTTTCCATCTCGGCTCATCTAATGGACTCGGCACGAAACTATCTGATGCATTATAATGCAGAAGATCCAGACTACGTTATTAAGACCGAAGAGGTCATGAATCTGGCATAACTGCGGCACGAAATCCGGCAACACTGGAGGACGAGACCGGAGCCAAAATTAACAGGACAAAATGCCATTTTTAAAGACACAATGGTGCACTGGAAGAAACAAGAACACTTTTCCTCGCCAAAAAAAAATCAAAATCTTTCGTTTGCTTGGGTTCTTTCCTTCGGAAACTCCCCAGGAGAAATAAGAAATCCTGGAACGAAATTCTAATCTTCGAAAAGCGAAATCCAGTGATCTCCACAATCCCGGGTATATGAAGCTTCAAATTCGCCGGTGCTATTTTGTGTTGAAAGAGGAAGAAGCATGCCAATTTTCGAAGGGGTCGAAGAAAGGCGATTGGCGCTAGCAGAGCGCATTGATGGACGCAGAGGAGCCGAACATGAATCGCGGGTGGACGATGGATATCGACTGAGTAAGGGACTGACTGGGGAGGGAAGGATCCAACTGGCACCACGTTACTCTCATTTCACTTTCCATATTGGCAAGAGCGAAGATGATTTCATGTCGCAGTCCACGGACTGCGTATTGAGACGCAAGAGACGGTTGTGACACGTGAAAGACATGGTGTCATCTCGCTATGTAATCACCCGTATTTCGTCATCTGGTGACACCAGATAACAAAATACGGGGCATCACGGCCCAACGCCAGACAGATCCTACCCATTCCAGCAATTGAATCGTCTGTCGCTGAAAAACAAGCTCCGTGACGAATGGGAATCGATCTCCCTTTCATGAACCCCACTCAGCGGCCCTAGCGAAGAGGGCTGAAGCCCCCCCCCCCCAAGTTTGGTTCAAGCCTTTCCAATCGCAGTCTAAATGCAGCTGCCCCCCCCCCTCGCAAGTAGAAGGGAAATATAATCCCTTCCTCCGTTCAGCTTAGCTCCCCAATTGGTGAAATCCTGACTACGCCACTCCCAAGTAACATGACAAGAACGGTCTTCCTTTTTTCATCCATGAGAGAAATGAGAAAATTTTTACCGGAATAGGTACCGGTAAACATGATAAGGCACTGGACCAAACCATCTTTAATACATAACTTCGAATGTGATTTCATTTTGAATCTGGTGTTAAGTTAGTTACTTTGGAACTGCCCTTGCGAGCACTTTTTTGGGGCGGGCTTGATTCCTTTTTTCCTGATTCAGATTCCGACAGAATAGCTCATTAGAAATAATGGCACCAGAAGGGGCGAACGAGCCTGGTGACATACGAGAACCAGTCAAGATATAGGATACTTTTTTTTTTTTCAAGGGTTGCAGGCCATTTATCGCCATAGCCTTTAGTACCCCGTCACGGCAGCTTGCACCTTCTCAATTCTCCATCGCAGGAACTTCAGGCGAGGGAAGAGAAACGTCTTTCTTTCACAGTGCAGAGGGGAGCAGCCTGCTAAAAATTTTAGGCGACGCCATTCCTCGAAAAACACTACGCAACTGGAAATCTGGAGATTAACTGCGCCGGGATAACTAAGCCCCAGCTTACAAATCTGTCATTGCGGCGACTTATCTCATGAATCATAATGAATCATAATCCATCCCCAACCCCGTACTCACCAGGTCTGGCGACGAGCGACTTTTCTTCTTTTCTCCCGCCTGATAATTTCAGCTTAAGAATCGTAGTTTTCATGCGATCGAGAAGGTGCAAGCTACCGCGATGGCAACACAGAAGGTGGTTGTAGAAAATGGTATGGAAACCTGTTCCAAGCAATTCTTTCACAGTCTTTTTTGGGTGAGACTCCTCAAGGGAACTAATAAGGTAATCATTTCTTTGTATCTTAGGCTTAACACGTTTTCCCAGAAAAAAAAAATACGTATCGGAAATTCTTCACTGACACTATCTAAACCGAAGAGGCCCTGGTGAGCACGGCTTTTAATGAGCTTGTCTTATGCTACAGATCATTAAGACGAGCAATTGGACAATGAAGATCCCAGTCGTGAAGCGTTGTTGCTGCGGGTGCATGAGCAACAAGAATGGGAGCATCGCCATCGGAATCCTGATGCTGGTATGCTCCAACTTCCCGTTTCTCATGATTCATGACTCGGCTTCCTTCGAAATCTCTGCGTTTTGCCAATTCTTAAGGACCTCATGAGCTGGAGAAATTGAGAAATTGAAGGGAGCCCGCCGCGAAAACGAAAACCGGCTATAACATCGTATCTGAACTATAACAAATGAAACTATGTCTCAGTGTAGCCGTGTGGGAGTAGGAATGGCCCACCGTGCATTAATTTCCAAATATCGAAGGTGATTTTATGAAAATATAATTTTATTTGCTTATTTAGAAATATTATTTTTTTAATGTAAATGACACCGAAGATATAAAATGATGCCTATTGGACAAAAAAAAGCACAACTCCAGCTCTTTCCGATTGTCGAATCCGAAAAATCCATCCGTGGCACTTTCTTTCCCTCCACTCGGAATATGTTCCACATATCAGCTGCATGAGCCATTGAGCGAGGGGCTGTCTGAAAGAAGCTAATGTTAAGAGCATAATTGACATGATGCAATTTTATTAATACCTCACAGTCACGGCCCCCGCCCCGAACCCTTCTTAAAGAAACTCTTTTTATAGTTATTCTTTTACCGCGTGAGTTCCACGAAAAGGAATTATAAAAAGTTGTAAGGCCCAGTGGGCGCAATCCCTTAAAAATTAACATGTGAAATCATGGATGACTATGCGGTACTTGAAGGGGACTAAAGTTTAAAGCCTTGAGTACCTCGATTTTTCAGAGATGTCAAAAGAGCGGAAGTAACTCGTCGTCGCCGAAAATGTTCTCGAATCCAAGAAATTCCACATCATCATTCAAAAAACTTCAGCGCGGCATGCAGACATTCCTCAGAGAAATCCATTCACTTGGTACAACTTCAGATATGATATTAATTATATATATATCTTCTCTTATCATCTTCAGATAAGATATATATGCATGAAATAAAATATTGGAAGACTCTCGAGTCTTCCCATGAATGAAGAAATGCAGCGCCAAGCATCCAGTCAGTCGCTGATTTCGCTTGCAGTCGATGCAATCTTTTGCATCGACCTTTGAATTTTGTTCTGAGTCGAAGTCGGTTTGATGGCCGAATATGGACCAATTTCTTTAAAGATCGAGGCTTCCCCGAAACGCCATATACTGTGAAATTTTCTTTTGCAGATCATATCTTCATCTATATTCGTGACGGACCTGCTTGAAATGGCCGGATACACGAAAAGAGCACAATACCACGCCCATCTTTCAGGGGAGGGTTGGGGCTATCTGCTCATGCAATTCGAAGGTCTATAGTTATTCATTATTTTAATGGTATTTTTTAACCTGTCAATAATTTTATATGTATAATTTTTCCAATAATTTTTTTCATCATCCTCTTTTTTTGCCTTCCAGAATTTACTCGGCCCAACATCTTCGAAATGGTCCTCTTACCCCTGTCCATCATTCCTGAGGCCCTTCTCATCCACGGAGTTCGGAAGGTTTGCATCTCAGCCTCTCAAAAGTTAAATTATTTGAGGCGTTCACTTGACTTATTTTTTAACTGTATCACTCTTTCTCGAGCAAGGTTGGTGATATTTTAAATGAAGAAGGGAAAGAAAAGGGATTCACATCGCTCACTTAACATGTCAAGAGAGGGCATGACAAGTTCCTTTACATTGCTACAGTCAAATAACAATCGAAATAGCTTAGGAATTGGCGGGTGCTTCAGAACGAAAACTTACGCCTAAACCAATGCAGGCACGCTATTGGTCGGGCGTTTATACTCATTGGGAGCAATTAAGAGGGAGTATTGTTCTCGAAAATAATAATCACTCGAGGAAAGCGAATGAGAGGATGGTGCAGTATTGTAGAGATGTAATTTTGAAACGTTTCAGAGGAAGAGGAAATTGCTGATACCCTGGCTGTTTCTGGATTTCCTGGCCCTGACGGCATCCCTGATACTTTTACTCGTCATCTTCCTTGTGCTCGTCGTCCTACTTGTTATGATGATGAATATTCTCATTTTCATCCTATTCATCGTTGGAATCGTCGCTGTTTTCCTTGCATATTACGTTGCAGTGCACTTCTTCCTTGTCGTCTACTCCTATTTCAAGGTGAGTGGATGTCACGTTTAATCACCATCGTAGTTAACCACCTTGGAGTTAAAAATATTCCGGCCAGTTAAAAGAAAGGTAACAAGGTTGCATGGGCTTGAATCACCTGTGAAGACTTGGAAAGCCTCTGCTCGTTTGGCTTAATATGCTGTTGACAGGATAGCGTAATTCAAGCCATCGCTTCTGCAGTCTGAATCTTCTCCTTCTGCATCAAAGTCCCATATTTCCATGCCATTCCTTCGCGATCCCGTTCATTTGGACTATTAGGGAGGGCGGCTTAATCAGGCGGAAGAACATCCTTGCGAATTCCAAATCCTGGGATACGAACTGAATAGATGGAAGGCCGAACCTCTCGTGATGTCAACGTCGTGATGCCTCCGTTTTCGAGGTTCATGGACTGGGTCCTCTGCAGACCAATTGAAGGATGAATTTCTTCGCGAGATTCTCTCTGGGGTCTTGCGGTTACCCCAACCCGTTTGGGATCTCTCTGTCTAAAGAAATAACTGCTCCAGTTTTTTTTCGCATATGGTGGACCTACCGTCATTTCACGTCGAATTGCATCAGTCACGCACGGCAGGAACTTCAAGGAAACTTAACTACAATTGAAATTTTAAAACTAATTTATTTTGTCACTCACAGTTCCTTGGCCATATATGAGAGATCCTCTCTCATATATGGCCAAGGAATGGAAGGATGCGAGCACTCGCAACAAGTGAGTGCGCCGCTTCTCGAACATAGTGTCAATTTACACTTATTCGCGTCATGGATGTGATGAACGTGATTCCATAAGGAATCATTGAATGAGGACACGGGCCTTGTTTTCCCAGCGACATGTCCATTTAATGCGGTTTCCAGCTGAAATTAACGTAAAACGGAACCTTCAAGTCAGGTTTAATGTCTGTGGCATCAAGGAATAATCGCATTTTCGTCATGCACCCACACGACGTTATTGCACATGAAATTAGCTTTTCCCAGCTGGTCCTCTCAAATATTGCTGTTTCATGATCGTAAAGCATGTTATGAAATGCCCCAGCCGACAATTTATCATTATATTCCTTTCCCAAATTTCCTTTCTCTCATGGCCGTGATCCCACACGATTTCTCCTTTCTGCCGGAGGGTTTTGGATATATTCTTTCTGGTACCTCTCAGGTGTCATAATTGTTTTCTAATAATTATTTTATTTTTGAAATATTTGAAGAGCAACGTTTTCTAAAGGGCGAATTTCCATTTCAGCTGTCGAAAGTGTACAATCTTTATCACATAGGTGCATACCGGAAATAGACTTCCTTATCGCTCAGAATGATGTGAAAAATCCTCCAACATCAAACATCATCACATCCTGACGGTCTGCACTGTGCAGCTGTCTATTATTTTTTAAAATACGGCTTCGTATTCCCTTTTATACTTTGAGTGTGACTTGGCGTTCAAGTCGGATTAGAGCATCGCTCATGCGAATATACGAAGACTCCCGCCAATTTTTTTTTTTTAAGTTCATGTGGAGATCCTCAGTATTTCTGGGAATCGATCGTCGCATCAACCCCCAAAACCGAGCGACCGAAAACGATACTTCACCCACCATTCATTCCCCCGGGCGAATCCCAGAGCGAAATAACCAGGGCCTACCCAATTTCAGGAACTCGAGGACTTGGAGAAACCGAGCGGAGACGAAGACGCCCATTGCAAAAACCCCCCGAGTATGTTTCCCCTCAGATGAACGAAGTGTGAGTTCCATCCCAATGCGTTGTTGGGGACCTCCATTACGTGAAAGGAATTGGGCCGACCGATGTGCTTCAATGGATTTTTTTATTATGTCGTACCTAATTGTCTTCTACAAAAATGAACAAATATTGACATAAGCTCCGTGAATCAAAGGTTAATATTGCAAGCACGGGACTTCCGTGATTTGGCTAAGTGTTTTTGAATAAAAAAAATTATTTTCCAAAATTTTAAGCAATGACCTTTCGCTCACAGCAAGAAAAGCGACTCCGTGAGTTTGATGGAAATCATTGCAAGTTGAGCCCCGATCGGATCCGACGGGCCAAGTTTGTTCTGCACTCGCCTTGTTGTGCTGCGAAAGTGTTTGCATGATCGAGGCGCTTGGACATGCTGACATGCTTTCCTTCGAACTTTCAATATATGATGTGAAAATATTGGTCAAACGAGGAAAAATCACTTCACGTGAAACCAGCAACATATGGTTCCAGGGAGTTTGTTCGCCCTTTGTCCCCCGATCCTGACTTTGTCCCCGATCCTGACTTTGTCCCCGATCCTGACTTTGTCCCCGATCCTGACTTTGTCCCCGATCTCTTGTCGGGCAAGGTTCCGTGCGTCTTCTCGGCTTAGGGATCCAAAGCACCCTTTCCTAGCATGAAAACAATTGTTCGCAAGGTATCGCGTCGTCTATTCATTTTGAAGATCTTGACCGTGGATCCAAAGATGTTTTCCAGACCCGGCCCACCGACATCCGTGAAATCTCGGAATGTGCATGCTCTGCGTGGCACAGATCTTCACAACCGCACAGGCAAATAATATTGAAAATGTAGAAAAGCCTGCTCTCCGCACCATTTTCAGCTCCAATCACACCAGCAACGAAGTCGCTCTGAAAAGCCTCGACATGCCCTCTCTGCACCACAAACCTGCAGAGAGGGCACATCCCTTCTCGCCTACCCTCTTACCACGTCACACTCTACCCTCCCGAAGACAACCCTACTCTATGCAATCATGTGACACCATTCCATCATAAAGAGTTTATATGCCGCATGCACATTTTCTACCGTTCCACCATCCCCTTCGTCACCAAACTCCTGCAGTTTAATGAAATGGATTCCCCACCTCCGCCTTATAATTTCCTTCGATCGTATCTCCCTCATTGAGGGAGATCCTCATTTTGAGGCCTGTATGTTGATCACGATGGAATCCAATTTGCCATGCACGACCGTCCCCGATCTCAGATAAGCTATCAACATCATGTTTAGTATCATGTCATGGCGACTATGGCCGGCTCTACTACCTTGCTGAAAGCAAATTACCAAGCATGGTCAGACAATTATGTAATGCGTTTAAATCACAATGGTGATACACTATGGACTAAAATATTTTATGGCACGCCTGATCAATTC